TTATATAAGGAAAAACGGCCCAAATTGTATACGACCCATGTGGAATTTTCCACATTTTCCACATGGCCAGTCCGCCCCTGGTATTATAATACATACTGATACACATTAAGACCATGTTTTTTCGGCTTTTATAATGAATTTCAAGCAAGTATTTGTTTCGACTTTTTAAACAAATATATATTTTCAAGAATTTTATTTATGTCCAATAAAATATTATATACACAAAGTATAATACAGAAAAAGTAATGCCCAAATAAATATACTACAAAATTTTAACAAATAATATAAAATGTTCACTCCATGATAAAAAGTTCCACAATTGACAAATTCATTTCTCACAGCACATCCTTCTCTTTAGGCTACTGTTTGAGCAGGAGCTTTATCTTCTTCCTGTAATCAATCTCTGTGGGAACTGTCCTAATCAATTTACATAAATCAGACATGAATTTTCAGAAGGGTGGGAAGTCAAGAAAGTTGGCAGTGGGCCACCTCGGCCGATGGCTGGACCAGGATCAGAAGATCTTAGAATCAGAAGTTCTTCGTCCATCTAGAATTGAATGGTCTGGCTTCTTGATTCATGGAACACAGATTTGTCAAAAAGTCTAACACAATCAATCAATACCTCCAACTGCAACAGTTCAAAGATGATTCAGTGAAGAGTCAAGAAGCCATCAAGCTAGTCAGACATGACAGTTTCAAAAAACTCCAAAAACCTGGCATGGAACTGTATTGACCTCCAAGTGTCTGGATATCAGAATATTTTAATACATTTAATCTCAAACAGTATTCTGTAACAGAAAATAATGGCAATAATCTTGTCAGTGACTGTCATGCCATTGGTTTGGTTTCAGCCAGTATAGAAATGATGCACAAAAGCAGTAGAAACCACATGGTTCACTTTCAGATGACTCATGGTCCCAAGTCAGTGGATCTGAAATTGATGTTGCAGAGATTGAAAAATTTTGGAGGAACAGATCTGATAGAAATGGTTGCCGTGGAATTTGAACAAGACAGTTTTCCATTAGAATATCACAGAATTATAAAGAGAGCAATTTACATAATAATAATTATTTACAATTTTTAATTTGTATTATGTAAATTTATTGGGACAGTTCTGACAGAGATCAACTACAGGGCGAAGATAAAGCTCTGACTCCAACAGTAGCCTACATAGAAGTAACTGTTGTGAGAAGTTGACTTCATCAATTGTGGAACTTTTTGTCACAAAGTAAACATTTTTTATTATTTGTTGAAATTTTTAAAGAAATTAAAATGTGACGAGGTCCTTTTTTATTTACAAATATAATACAATTTTGATTAGAAATAAAGTCAGCAAATTTATACATTTTGTGCATAAATTTGCTGAAATTTTTAATACATATTAACCCTCCTCCCACAAGGTGGTGTCATATCCGACACGTTTGTTTTCGTTTGTACAAGAAACAGCACTAGTGTTGGGGGTCGTGACCATAAATTACCCTATCGGGCAGTAGTTCTCAAGACAGCGGCATGAAAAAATAAGTCGTTTACCTTCAATTCTTTTTTATAATTTAGGTATAATCAAGGTCCACTCTGCTCCGGTGTCAGATACGACACCTTCTTGTGATGTACATTAACATTTTTTATCAGGTAGGAAAAGCCTAAACAGCTATTTCTTGATTATCTACCGTTGTTTAGAAGGTTACTATGACAGAATATCAACGGTTTACTACACACGAAGAAATTCATCAAGAATTGTTACGGCAACAGGCTTCAGATACAGATGACGAATACGAAAAGTTTGTTCCTAATTAAACACAATTTTGTATGTTTTGTATATATACATATTTTCTTTCACGTATTTTTATTATTTAAACCAAATAAATCTAATTTATATAAGGAAAAACAATTTTTTTTAGCTAAGTGTCGCATAAGACACCGCCTTGTGATATGTGTCCTGATATGCCACCTTGTGGCAGGAGGGTTAATTTTAATTAAGCATTTATTTCAAATATTAAAAACAGTTTACTAAATTACCTTTTGCAGTTATATTCAGCTAATTTAACAAGCACCATCAGTGACCATTCAACGAGAGACTTATTAATACAATTTTCCTAAAATAAAGATTTTTTATGATTTTACATATATAACATTATCCAGTACTAGTTTATATTATTTATCTTCACATCTTTTGTCAGAAACATTAAGATAGCTTTAAATAATTTTACTATTATAAAAAAATTTAATAATGAAACTACTGTATTATTATAAAATATTTGTCTATAGAGTGATTCTAAATACATTAAAAAATTTCAGGAGCTGATTCTTTGAATAATTTCTACCATAAAAGTGCATAAAAATATATGTTCAAAATATTAGAGTTGTAATAATTGTTGAAAATTACTACTGCTGACTGTATAATACGGGTTTCTATCCTCAACCATTTGCATGCATATGCAAATATCGGATGTTTCAAATTATTTCACAGGATGCAACAATGTGATTCCATAATTTGTCAATATTTTCAATAGAGCCGCATGTTAAACATCCTGTAACTTTAAAATTATGCTGTTCTGAACATATGTTTCAGTGGCGTGCCATCATTGGAAGTGGTGGAAGTGCTGCTTCCCTTGTATTTTCTAAAAAATAAATACATATTGCGTGATTATTTTCATATTTTAACGTATTTTGAATTAATTAAAATTAATATTTTATTATAACCGCATTATGTATCTTATTACAAATTTCTATACTACATGTGAAAAAACGATAAGATTGCTATTGCATATTCGAATATCAGTGGCGGAATGGAAGCGCTGTATTGTCGAAACCGGGTCAGCTTCCAAACAGCCAGATTATAGGCATTTGCGCATGTGCTTTACAGAGCACCAACCTCACCCGGTTTAACTGGTGGAAGCTACACACATACAAAGCTTCCAATGATTCTATCCAGGACCAGTTCTGGGCTATTAGCTATTTGGCCGTCCTTGCCTGATTATATGAATCGCGAGTAGATTTATAACTTAACTCAACCGATAGGGGTTTACTGGTATGTTTTTATGATAATTCTGTATAGTTGACAGGAGTTAAAAAAAATCCATTAAAATATTTGATATTTTTATTCTGTTCTCCCATCTTATATTACTTATGGCTTTCAATGTTAAACCAGTGATATTATGATTTAGTATGTTCCACCTATAAGGGGATGCAGAAAAAAAAATTAACTGTTACTTTGGCAGCATCATTTACAACTAAATTTAACGAATGAAATGCACAATGTAAAAAAAAAAAGCTCTATAATTTATTTTCCTTAAATTTACGATTTATGTATCCGTTGTCATAAAAATTTGTCTTTCCACTTTTTTCCTGAGACTACAAATAGTACAGTTGAAACAGTTAGTCTGTACTCAAGTACAGAGTAACTGTTTCAACTTATTTCTACTTAAGAAGTAGTTAAATAATTAAGAGACTAGAGAATTGGGGACATAAATAAAATCCTGCTGAAAGAGCCAGAATTTTACTCAAACAAAGGCTTAACTGAACCAATCTCTAGCCGAGTACAGTGGGGACTGATTTCTTCGTAATATTAGATGTAATAAATACAGAAATTTTTCCAGTTCAATGAGTGTGACCAAAAACTTGTAAATTTTGGAAATTTCCATTGAGAGCTGGTCCTAAAACAAATTAGTTAGAAAACAAATGATGGATAATCTATTAAGTTTAACATATTTAGATTTTTACAGCTATGACGAAAAACGTTAAAACCTACAACAACCCTGTCGCGTCCTTTGAGATATAATAGTGATGTGACAAAAGAGGTATCTGACATTGACCAGTATCAGCACCCTGGGGATTTGGCAGTCCGCATGTATGCACGCACTGTGACCATCTCTGATTCCATCCATTAGCCACTTGTAGAGAGCTATTTGACAAAATGGATTGTTTTAAGATTTAAAAAGTACAGAATATTTTATGATATTTTTACGTATGTTTCTTTACAAAGCTGTATTTAATTATAATTTTCTTTAAAAGTATATTCATACAATTGAAGAATATTTTGTACCAGGTATGTACTGTACCTCCACCACACATTTTATTTCACCAAGTAAATTTTTATAATTTTATTTTTAATTGTAGCCCTTTTGTCCTGGCTAGCGATTCAGAATGTAATTGTGATATTAAAAATACATTTAGAGATGTCTGTGGTTTTACTGGCTTATCAAACAAATGATACAAATTGACCATCACTGATGCGCAATTAACTGACTGCCCCTGGAGGTCGGCTTCTTACAGAAACACAGCTTCCCTATCATTAAATGTCACAGCACGCCACTGATATGTTTGTATGTGCTTTTACAGTTGAAATTATTTGCATTTACAGTGGAACCTTGGTATACGACCTTAATCTATTCCTGAAGTTTGGACTTATACCAAATTGGACCTATACTAAACCAACCTTTCCCATAAGAAGTAATGTAAAAATGATTAATCCGTTCTCATGTAAAAAAAATGACTGGCTTTAAACACCTCGCTTTCCTGGATAGTTCCTGCTTGATTTTTCATGAGATCAGCATGTATCTTTTTAGCTTTCCTGCAAATAAATGCTTCTGATACGTTGTCTCCAGCACATTGTTTTTCAGTTATCCAAAGCAAAAGCAATTTCTCAACATGATCTAATGTCTTCGATCTCTGTTTAGAAATTGATTTAACCCCTTTCGCAACGTAAGCAGATTTAATAATGTCTTTATTTTTCACGATTGTCGATATAATCATTCTCAGAATACAGTATGCAACAGTTAAAATCTCAAACATGCATGCCACCTTCATATTTCTCAACAATCTCTTTTATCAGTTTCATTGTAATTCTAGTCATTTTTTTAGTTTTCTGTTGCTTTTCATTTGCCTTTTTGCAATTCATGATTAATAAAAATTTACTTACAAATTAAAATCAGAAGAAATTTAACAAAGTTATAAACCGCGGCACCACGAATGTCTACTCTAATACACCGATAGTGCTACTTGTTCATAGATGGCACGTATAATTGAATTAAGTCGTATACCAAACAAAAGTCGTATACTGAGCAAAATTTGTTTCATCCAAATAGGATGTATTCCGAATTGGACGTATTCTAAAGCAGACGTATACTGAGGTACCACTGTATTTAGAATTATCCTGTATAAACTGATGTACGATCTTATTGATTTGACTTTATAATTCATTATATGCATTTTTCAAATCTTCTACTTGTCTATTAAAAATATTTTTATCACTTCATATATATATATATTTACTAGCTGTTACCTGCAACTTTGCCAGCAGGGATTTTGCAAGCAAACCCCATTTATATTTAGTATTTCAACAGCCATAGTAATTGTTATGTAACACCTATTGCTGAGAATGATGAAAATTGCTGAGAATCAAATGAACTATTTTAAATTTGATCAATTTTCTGGAACATTTACAATCATTCTATAATCGAACCAATATGCAATAACAAATTCAAATTTAAAACGGTTCAGACATTTGGTTAAAAAATCGAAATATATAAATATATTTATAACAATGTCTGAAATGTTATTAACTTAATACACCTAAGTACTCAATGAAGACTAAATGTAGTTGAAAACAAAAAATTGCATCTAAAATAGTATAGTAGAACCCATTCTTCAGGTTAAGCCTTAATCCTTAATTTGGTCCACAGTTAGGATACATCATGAAAATGCACACTAAGAAGGGATTTTTTAAAATCCCTTCTTAGTGTGCATTTTCATGATGTATCCTAACTGTGTACCAAATTTCACCTCTTTAGGTTCAGTGGTTTGCTCTGGGCGATGATGAATCAATCAGTCAGTCAAGACAAGTAATTTTATATATTTAGATATACATGTATAACAATGCATTTGTGATCTGTTTGATCTAGCCACTTATCTATTTCATAAACTTAAATAAGAAAGCCATAATAGTAAGAAGAATAGCAAAATAAATACTATTCTCATTTTGATCACAGCTTCCTATCTTGGTGTGCATTTAAATTTATACTTATAGCAGTAAAAACCAAAATTTTTGCTTTTGTAAATAATATTTCATTACAGAAACTGTATGGTAAATAAAAAATATAGAAGAAAGTACTTTTATTGATAAAATATATCATGGTTCTGAACAGAAACAAATACAGTAGACTCCCCTATAATACAGTAGATATGTTCTGTTTTATATAAATTTCGTGTTTTATGATCACTTAAATACATGAGCCAATCACAGCCCGGCACATGTACAGTTTATGGACTACGCTGTTTGAAAGGTTTTCTTCCATAAAATTAATCGATTCTAGACTAATTTGACTCAACATTTCCAAAACACGTATAATTTTTTGTGAATAATCCATATAAACTATGCTATAAACAAAAAATTGTAGGATTACTTACCGAGTGTGCACCGTTCAATGATGCCATTGCTTAAGATTGTTTTTGTCATGGAGCGGCGCATCGAACGGCAGGTGCATGTTTCCTGATAAATTATTTTTCTGCGAAAAATTTGCTGAACTTTGGAGACATTATTAATATAAATATAATTTTTATGGCCATTAAATAATAAATGGTTTTAGTAGGTCTGTTGCTCATTTAAACTCAACAGTTTGTGCAATATCTGTTATTGGTCTAGATTTGACCAATCCTGTCGCGACACGAGTCAGCGATGATGTATTATATGAGTCTCTTTTAGCATGTTTATATGAATACGATCGCAATTTTTTTACCATATTATACGAATCCATATTATATGAACCAGTTTTATAGGGGGTCTACTGTATGTGGAAATACAAAATGATATAAATAATATCAAGCTTATTATTAGGAAATTTAAAAAATGCCCATAATTTATAGCTTTTATATGTATTATAAATTGTTTAATGTATTTGTTATATTTTATTTAATACACTATAAATCAAGTATGTTTATGCATAAACTTACTTCGTAATATAATGGAGTTGAAGAGAGTAATACAATATGAATAAGTGGATGAATGGCTTTTTCTGTTGATATTTCATTATTCTTTGTTATCTGAAACAAATATGAAAATCTTTACCAATAATATACTTTAAATTGATACTTTAACATTTTTTTATGTTAAAGTGTATCAAAGTACATCAATGATCAAGTATTAAGTATATTTATTAGCATCATTTTTGGGGTTGTCATAAAATCTTTCTCTGGTTACCAACATTTATTGTACAAAAAATATTCTAGATAAAAAAATGTATAGTTTGTGGCTTTATTTAGGGCAATTCATAGTTATCTTTTGCCGTAATGTAGCACAGACTCTAAATGGTCTGGGTGGTTGTACAACAGCCAATATTGAAATGGTGTCTTTACAAGAGAAAGCTCAATATGTTGTGCAATTTTGTGAACAAAGTCACAAATTACAGTTTGGAAAAACTTTATAAAAGAGCATAGATGAGAACCACTACCTGTGAAAAGCATTAAAGGATGGTATGCAAAGTATAAAGAGACTAGAAATGTTGATAACCTGTAAAGAACATTGTTCAGACTTGGTCTTAGAAATGATGTATGAACAACAAGACTGTTAATATCATGTATGAGTTGCAAATTTACCAACTTTTTTATTGCCAGTAAAACAGTAAATTTTCAAAACATTGTTGATATTTTAAATTTTGACTCCAAATGCAAAAAATTAGCATGCTAGTTGTCAAAAAAACAGGAAGCTTAGTTGTCAACTCATTGATGGGCGAGCAACTAAACAATCTTTAATGCTCTATGACAAGTTAAATTCTTTTTTCCTATTTTGAAAAGTGAAAGTTTCATTGCCTGAAAAATAGAGCATGCTGTAATTTTTTAGTTTGTGTTGATTGAAAAGTGGCCAGTGCCAGCACAGGCATTTGAATAAAAATATTCCATTTTGTCAACTAAAACGTTATTTGAGTAAAATTGCTATTGCATTCTAGGCACAACAGTAAACTGTCCAGCATAGTGCTGTAATATGATACTTTCAAAATTGATAATTTAAAAGATAAATGATGTACTGTACACTACTTTTATGGCCTAAATAAAAATGTTGACCCTTTTATCTTTAATATATAAAAATATAAGCATGCATGAAAGTGTATACAGATAAATATTTGGCTTCAAAAAGTATTACTTGGCTACCTATTTTTTACCAAATTTTCTGATAAAAAATATTAATTAACAGTATATTTGCCAATGCATTTTTACCTGATTACAGGTAATGCAGTCTCTAATGCTAGTGGAGTTTTCCAACACAGTTCTAGCAAATTTATTCATTGTGTTTCAAATGAACCTAGGAGGGCAGTGCTTAGGCTTTGTATAAATAGCTTTGCTTAAGTTTATGCAAAGTATAAATTGTCAAGTCTTGGAGCTGGATGATTGCCCATAACATGTTTCTTTTGTGACTGATCCTGCAATGGATGGATGAATGCAAACAATAACTACCTAAAGCATGTTTGTTTTCCAGATGATGCTAGCTTACACACTTTGTGAAAGGTAAACAGATGTAATGTCTGTATATGAGAGACTGAGAACCTACACGCTATTTTAGAGAAAGAGAAGGATAGTCCAAAATTTAATGTTCGATGCAACCTTGTGCCTAACAAGGTTGCATCAAACCCAAAATTATATCAAATGTGTATGGGATATAACAGATTTTTCAGCATCTTAATTGGAAGATTTTAAGACACGGGTGACGTTTCAACAAGATGATGCACCACTTATATTGAAACTTCATATGTTTATCGACTCCTACATGCAACTTTTTCTAATCGATGAATTTGGAGAAGTGAACCGACAGCATAGTAACTTTGGTCACTAGATATAATCCCTCAACATTTTTAAGGGATTATGTTAAGAATAAAGTGTCTTTGACACCCATTGCTGATATGAAAACTGAAAATGAAGATAACAGAAAGTATAGCAATGCTCTCCGAAGAGTTGTTGGAAAGAGAAAAAAACTTTGAGAGAAATTGAATATTGACTTGATGTTCTCCAAACCACAAATGAAGCACATGTTGAAGTGTATTGAAACTAGTGTAAAAACTTTCCAAATCAAACTATATTTGCCAAAAACCATATGGGTCTACTTAGCATAGTTTTTGCACAATAAATGTTTTTAATCAGGAAAAGACCTTGAATAATAGTTTTCAGTAAAATTGATAGAAAAATATAAATAATAATTTGGAAATTAGGATCAAATTTTCAAAAATGTAAGAAATATAGTTTTACAAAAAGGTAAATGATAAAAAAATTCATATAATAGTAAGCATACATATAGAATATCTATATAAAAATATATTGAAAGTGAAATATTGACTACAGAAGTGATTTGTGAAGACATTAAATAAATATTTGCATTCCTGAAATTAACTAAATCCATATACAGGTAAAACATTGGTAATCTGGCTGTTTGCTAGTTCGATACATCCCATGATCTGACACTAGTCATTCTTTGGTATTACCAGCACTGTTGCCAAATCAGACAACCTTCTCACTAGTTTAAATACCAATCTCTACTAAATTTGAATGCATTTCCACTAAATATGGTATGATATCAAGCCCGAGCCTGATCACAAGATTAAAGATTGTTTGGCTTGTCATCTCAGGCTGTTCAAAAAAGGTACAGTACAATGACTTATAATTCAATACTATATAAATGTAAAAATCGGTTCCTGAAACTTCCCAGCAAAAATAATGTACCTCCCACTAAATTTTCTGAGATCACTTCAATTTCCCACTAAATTTAGTGTGAATTACCAACTTGGCAGCATTAATACTGCAATGGCAGCATACTTGCATGTCCTTCTTATCAGTAATCCAACTTAATACAATGTATAAATACTGTGCAAATAAACAAATGAAGGGCTCCCTCATACAAGAAGCTAACTCTGTTTCAAAATTTCATGTTTTTGCTCATAAAAAGTGCTAAGCGTCAAATCTTTGTTTGGGCATTATATTTTGAATTTGCTGCCATTTTTGGGTTGAAACATGTGTACTTATTACAGTGCATGAAAGTTTTTTCATGGATAGCAATAATCCTCAGCCAAGATGGCTGCCTCAGGTGATAACAGTTGATGTAGTGGAATCCAAATTTTCAAGACAAACCTGATGATGACAAGGATGAAATTAGTGCTGACAATAGCTTGATTTGTTCTGATTGCACCAAAGACAAATCAGATAGCAAGAGTTGTGATGATGAGGTAAAAATGTCCATTTATAATATCACCCGGTTATTGTGTCAGTTAATATGTTTGCATAACAGCATACATGATAACATGAGCAACCCAGGATATTTTCAATTAAAAATTGAATTTTGACTATTTACAAAAAATTTTTTAATTTTTCGAGTCTATCTTTCATCCTTTTTAACACACCACAGAATCCTCAAATAAAAGGTCGGCGTTTCGATCGTTTTTAACTTTGTGTGTGTTTCGTTATAATTTATCACGTGTTCTGTGGAAGTTCATCCAAGCCAATATACTGTTACTTCTGTGGTGTGTTAAAAAGGATGAAAGATAGACTCGAAAAATTAAAAAATTTTTTGTAAATAGTCAAAATTCAATTTTTAGTTAATATGTTCTTTCACTCCACATTTCCTTCTGCTTCAGTGCTTTCCAACATTGTCCAATTTTTAATTTTGCTGTAGCCAAAGTCGATTGTTCAAACTTTTGTAATTTTAGTCTCACCTAGAATCAGTTTGCATAGAATATGAAAGAGAAATGTTATGTCTTTATGATTGATTACCCAATGATCAACATGGAAACAACAAGTGCAAGATTTTCCTGATGATGTTCAAATGACCAGATATTACATAGCTTCAAAATATCAGAGCCACTATAGCAGAAAACATAATGCATAGAAGACATTTACATATGTCTTCTATGCATTATGTGATTTGACTATAAACTCACAATACCATGATTACTATCTTACATGGTGTGAAGAAAACAGGAAGCCAACTGTATCATTGTCAAAATTTCAAAAAATATTTTGTGAAGACTTTAACATTGGTTTCAAGTTGCCCAAATCTGTCCCACCTGTAATGGTTTCCATGTATCTATTTCAAATGCCAGGAATGAAAGTGATGAGGTTAAGGTAGAAACATTGATGAAAGAGAGAGCTGCACATTTGACAGGTAGGAGCATGCCAGGAAACCATAAGCAAGTTGACAAAATCAGCTGAAGATTCCTCTGATGATATGCATCACTATTGACTTGCAACAGGCACTTTTCACTGTCAAACTGTCAGTAGGGTTAGCCTTTTATAAATGAAAATTGTAGACTTTTAGATTCTGTGTTCATGACTAGGGATCCAACATGGGTTACATGTTTGTACAGTCTGAGAAGGAAGCAAGACAAGGATTCAGTGAGATAGCAAGTTATTTGCTGAAATACATAGAAATTCAGAAACTCAGAGGAAAAACATTTCATTTAATATTAGACAACAACTAAAACTGGGCTTTCGTTGCAATGCATAAATCTTTAGTTTAGTATAAACACTTTAATGAGATATGACATAATTTTTTATTGTGGGACATACCCATTTGTCATCCAATCAAAATTTTGGGTCGCATCAAATTATATGCAAAGAAACATGAGCCCAATGTCTACAACCTGACCAGCAGAAAGATGTAATCAAGAAAATATACAGATCCAACATATTTGTTGTCACTTTAATGAGGAGTGTAGACTTTAAATATGTAGTCATTGGTGAATGGGATCACAAAATAACTGAAAAATCAACTCTGAAAAATAACCTCTGGAATTCTCTAAAGTTTCAACATTCAAATTCATAGCATCAGATCCAGATCACCTGCATGTTTCCCACAGTTATGTCTATGAGAACAATGCAAATGTGGTACGGTTTCTTTTCTGAAACAGAGCAGACAGCATGTGATGCTTATGAATCCCTTTCAGTTGACACCTAAGTATTCATCCAAGCTAAAGATACCAAAAGATAAGATGGCTGATATGTTATCATTGATGCAGTGGATCCCTGTTTCATATCAAGAGTTTTATATGCAGTTGGTGTCAGATGATATTGACCAACAAGTGGACTAAATGTTGACATTGATGAGGACACTGACAATGTCACTTGTTAAAAAACTATTGATAATTTTCATTTACTTTTGATATCAAAAGCTGATGTTTCTTATTCAAGTTTCTGTTCAAAATTTGTATTGTAAGCATAAATTAATACATCTTATTGTTACATTTGTATGGTCCACTAAATACAATAACATATAACTTTGCATGTGTTGTTATTCAAAACTATGAAATAATCACAACGCCTTACAATCACTGACTTATGGGCTATCTGACATAGGACCAATTTCAATAGCATATTTTTTATAGGTATATGGTGCCATCCCACAATCAGCTGTTATTGTGTTACACATTCTTGCATTACTGAAGCCAATAACAAAAACCTGAAATGTAACACTAAAAGTTAATAGCCAAAGAGTGTGCTATTAATATGGAATGTAAAACGAAATCATAAAAATTCTGATTTAGAGATTTAAGCAAACTTTCAAATCCAATTATCTCAAAATAGAGAAATAGGTTTAGCACCTTCTATGAGGGAGCTCTTCAAATCTTTTCTTTCCAAATGACTAAGCTATTGAATTCATCTTACTTCCAATAATCCAAAACTGTTCCGTTCCCATATATGTCAGATTACCAAGATTATACTGTATTTAAGTAAAATGTATAGATCTATTAAATTAAAATAATTAAATAATACATTTATATAAATAATAAATACTATAATATGTGAAAATAAAGAATATTTAATTCTATATTAAAATAATTAAATCTTAATTTTTACTCACTTCATTTAATTTTATTTTACTGTCTTCATTAGAATGTTCTAAAGTATAATTCATCAAAATGCTTCTGACACTGTCAAAATCTAACAATTCATACAAATACTGTAATGTTTTCACCATCCTACATTCAACTTCATTTACAATGAACGTAACAGACGTGTTTTCAAAACGAAAGCAATTGGAATCAAAGTTATGCACTGCTTTAAAATAATTATCAGAACAAGAGATACCAGGTTTAAGCATAGAATTTTTTTCTGTACTGATTAAATTCTTTAAAAATCCCATGGATTCTTTCAATGATTCTTCTAACAATAAGATAATTTTGAACGACGGTGATGATTCTATTGGCAAAGTCTCTTTTCTTATATTACAGTCTTGATTATTTAAATTTAATTGGGTCAAAAATAGATTTAATAAATTATTTTTATCATTTTTAAATTTTTTAAAATTGGATACTGCATTAGTATCAAAAACATCTTGAGTGCATTCTGGCAAGATATCTTCATTTTCCTTATGTTCACAAATATTTGGATCAGTATGCAAAAATAAACTTTTATCTTCACTTAATGAGTTAATAGTAAGAAGCTTCATACTTGAATATTCTGTAAATAAATAGGTAAAATAAAATCTAATTATACAATAAGAGAATTTGTTTATTCATTTCACTATCATTAATTTTTATTATAAAATCAATAGTATGACTAAGAGCTGGGAATTTGTATGCATGTGTTTTTTTCTTCAAATATTATGATGTTAAACCTCAATATAAAACAATTTGAATGCAAGTTATGAATGGAATTTGGATCCTAGACACTTACAACAGATGGAAAAATTCCTTATTGTAATACATCCCACCAGATTATTTCCTGTTAAAAAAAAACAACTTCAAGTGTCTCAGAGTACTAAAATGTCCTTAAATAAGTGCAACATGAAGTATCAAAATGAACCAAAACAGCAATTGATTGCAGGTAAATTCTAGTTGCACTGAAACTAACTTTAGTAGAGTTCATGATATTAGTTGAAAACAAAACATTATTATCAGCTTCATCACTATATCTGTAATTAATTAATAACTTAATAACTTTACTCATTTCTTCTCATTTGTATGAGGCTATAAACTTGATTAGACAGCATAGAAAGTTTATAAAATTTTATTGTAATTGACTCAATTGAGCACCTCCTATGTGAAACAATATTTTAACATGTGTTTAATGCATGTTTATCCCCTCCCACTTAAAAAATATGTAACAGACATTTGCTTGCAGACAGAAATGTAATACGCATGCATTTCAGTTTATTAACTGAAATGCATACGTATTACAGTTACGTAGTTATCAAATTTATATATAATTATATATATATTATATAATTATAATAAATTATTAATTAAAAAATAACATATATTTTCGAATAAAATTTCAAATATAATAATATTACCTAAAAGTAACAGGGAATTATCTATAGAATAATGCCATTAAAAGTGCCAACTTTCGTTCTGTTTCTGGTTTTTTTCTGAGTTGAAATCAATTTGGATTACGGAAATCATAATATATTTAAAACAAATAGTTTTACTTAACTTTAAAAATTTCTAAATAAAATATTTAATATTTACTGTTTTATTTAGTAGTATACATAAATATTTTTCCATTTATTATTGTTTCCATAATCGTATAAGTTATACAAGTTCCAATCACTCATGTCAAAAGAAATCTATTCTGAAATCGCATATTGTATTTTTGATTTAAAGTCTGTCAAGAGTAGAAAGAAATTTAAATTGTTAAAACATTTTAAATGAAATAGTGAACTTAGTATACTCAGTACTAAGTTCACTATTTCATTTTACTTATATTATATTAAACTAACGTACTAAGTTCACTTATTTAAGTAAACTTAGTACGTTAGTTTACCTAACAAATATGCATTGAATATATGCGCATATTTCCGACCTTAGCTGGGTACTGTACGGACAAAAATAGCAAGATTTGGAAATATTTTCTGAAATTTCTGTTTAAAGTAAATTGAAAACCGACTGTGCTTTTTACATCTAAAAATTTTTTGGACTTTTTATCTATATCTATACTAATATAATAAAGAGGTAATGTTTGTAAGTTTCGTTGCAGCAGGTAATCTCCGAAACTACTCATCCGATTTCAAAAATTCTTTCACCAATATTTAGAATGGAACTTCAGGGTGGACATAGGCTGT